GGTATGCGTTTATTAAGAATTATTTGTTACATAGGATATATATATATATATAGTTCGTGCTGCAGGGGCTTGTCCGCCCGTAGGTTGCCGGGGTCTTCTTCCGTGTCGTCGTTCGGCGTCGTCGTTGGCCGTCGTCGTCCCGGTGGCGGCGGCGTCGGCGGCGGTGGCTGCGGCGGGTACCCTGTGGATGAGAAAGGAAAACAGCCACGTCCCTCTGGGCTATGCTTATGTCTAGGAGGATGAGACAGTTTGGAGGCCGCTTGGGTCTGCCAGTTTCGAGAAGAGGGTGGAGCCGCTTAGGTCTGCCAGTTCCGAAAAGAGGATGGAGGCCGCTTGGGTCTACCAGGGAATGAGAAGTGTGGCGACCACTAGGGGTCGGCCTCGCCGATCTGATCGGTCCTAGTTCCGGGCGCGCAGGGCCGGCGGTGGGCCTCGGAGAACCGAGTGGTGGTCAGGGCGCGTTGCGGACCGACGCAACCCGGGTGAGAACCAGGTGGGATCGGTTCGGCAGACGGCCGAGGAGCGCCTCGGAGAACCGAGTGGTGGAGTCCCCAAAAGATCGGGTGAAACTAATGACGGTCGGTCTTGGGGTGTGGGATCCCAAAGGTCGGATATCACTGATGACGGCCGGTCCTTAGGGGGGTGGGGAGAAGGGGAAGGGGGGGAAACAACTAACTACAATGTATTGGGTGGACGGGGTACTAGACCCTATCCCGAAAAAGACTCCGCAGTTAACTCCCAGAGAAGTTTGCTCACTCCAAAGGGTAAGCCTTCTCCGATCGCCGTCGGCCGCAGAGTGATCTGTATGGGCCCCGGCGCCCTTTTTATATCCTCCCGGCCCTCGCCAGTGTGACTGTAGTTTCATAATCCTATAGCCATGGCCATACCGCGTGTGGCTTGTGGTGGCTATTGGTCAGTGTGACCGTTTCCTTGGTTTGGCGCGCCCGCCCGGATATTTAAATTTGAATATTTCCATTTAACTTAAATTTATTTCGGCTTCTTGCCTTTGAACTTATAATTATTTCGGCTTCTTGCCTTTGAACTTATAACTATTTCGGCTTCTTGCCTACTTAACGACTATCTATAGCTACTGCTTATGTTATTATATCTACTTTGTGCGCTCCTGAGCGTCACAAACTTCTTTGAGCGTTCCAAGAATTGTGTTTTTGTCAGTGTAACTGATCAAGTGGCGTGTTTTGCTGCGAAACAGCAACAGGTTTCGCTTTAGCGGAAAACGCGATTCCTCCAGGACAATCTGATTCCTGAAGCAATTCAATGGCTTGTCTGTTGAGTCGACCGTGTAGGTCAGCGAGAGTTCGCTGTGAACGGTTGCAGCGTCCGAACGTAGCTCATCTTGTAGAGCATTAATGTTTTGCCTTGAAAGGGCATCCGCCACCAAAATCTCTTTGCCTGGTTTGTAAAACATTTTGGCATTGTGCTGGTCAATGTAAGCTTTCCATCTTTTAATCTTGGAATTAGTGTTCTTATCCGCCACAGCGAACGTGAGTGGCTGATGGTCTGTGAAAATGTTAATTTCCCTAGAGCCGTACAGAAAGTTCTGCAGTCTGCCTAAAGCCCACACAATGGCCAGCAATTCTCTTTCGTTGGTGGCATAGTTTTGTTCGGCTTGTTTTAAAGCGCGAGAAATCATTGTTATCGGCCTATTGCCTTGGGAGAGGACCGCACCCATTCCACGGGCCGAAGCATCCGTGGTTAAGTCGAACGGTTTCTGAAAGTCTGGATACATTAACATGACATCTTCTGATGCCAAAATATTGCGTAGACGGTGGAACGCATCGCGTTGAACTTCATTAAATTCAACAGGGATTTTCTTTGATACGTGCTTGCTAACCGAACCATTTTCCCCTTTAAGTATGTCCGATATCGGACGAGCTATAGCGGCAAAGTCTTTAATAAAGACCCTATAGTAGCCGGCTAACCCCAAGAAGGATCTAACACTGTAGACACTCTTTGGTTCAGGGAATTCCTGAATGGCTTTGACTTTTTTGGGATCGGATGTTGCTCCATTTTTGGTTACGATGAAACCCAGAAATTCAATACTTTCTTTGAAGATTGAGTCTTTTCAGGGCCTACACGCATGTTGGCGTCGATTAGACATTTTAACACAATGTTAATGTGTTGAACGTGCTCCGTTTCATTTTTAGAAAAAATGATGACGTCATCAACATAGACAAAGCAAATCTTTCCTATGTGCTCCCTCAGGATATCATCTATTGCTCTTTGGAATATGCTGCTTGCATTGCGCAGGCCGAACGAAGTCTTTTCGCGGTCATGCTCCGCAAGGTAGATTGGGTGATACCCAGACTTTAAGTCGACGGTAGTGAAGTATTTTGCCTTTCCTAGACTTGCTAAGATCATAGGGATGCTCGGCATGGGGTAACGGTCCGATATGGTTTTTTCGTTCAATTTCCTGAAGTCGATTACCAACCTTTTTTTTGGGTTACCGTATGGGTCAGTGCCTTTTTTATCTACCACCCAAGTTGGGCTGTTGTAAGGTGATCTGGAGGGCCTAATTATCCCGTCGTCAAGGAGTTGTTTGACCTCTTTGTTTATGAAATCAGAAACACCCATGAGGCTCGGGTATCTTGAATACACGGGCTCGTTGTCTACTGTTCGGATTGTAGCGACCACAGCAGTATTAACAGGGAGAGCTTCATCTGCATTTGAGAAAGCTTTTTTGTTTCTGAGTATCATGTCCCTAAACTCTTTCTTTACGGAAGGGGGAACTACGATGTCGTTGACATCGGTGAAGTTCACGTCAGCACATTGATAGTACTGGAGTTTTTCGGATATACCCTGGTATTCCAGAGTATTTTTTACCAAGTTCAATTTGACCCCGGCTTGTGTTAGCAAGTCGAAGCCTATGATCGCGTCGAAAGAGTTTAGGGTATCGAGGAGACCCGTGGATCGAGTTTACCGAGAATGACTTGGCGACCGGCGTTATGGTCTTTAGCTCTGTTAAGGGCTTAACATAATTCTTTGCCGCGCCAGTGTCAATCAACATCTTCAGAGATCTCCCAGCCAACCGCCGTTCAATGTACGGAAGCCGGGAGTGTTCCCTAAAAAATTAACCGAGTCGTCACAAGGTGCGAACTCGTTCTCACTCTCTAACTCTTCAACTGCCTCTTTGGCCGCCTTCTCGTACTCTGTTACAGCTTCTTTGGAGTCAGTTTGCACGACATTGTTAACGCGTTGGCGTCTTTGACCTGTTGAACGGTCTGACGAGCTCTTGCGTTTTGGTGCGTTGGATTCATTAGCCTGACGCTTTTTGTCTGTATCTGGAGGAAGGGTCAACTTCCATGGGCTGTGGAGCCTCGGTTTGATTGTCTTTAGGGGTCTGGGGCTGGGGACCGCCATTTTGGCGTTTCACAAAATGGGGATTTTTCTCCTGATTTTGCTCATCTCTGTTAAATCTGGTTGGTTTGCCTTGGGCACGGATTTTGTTACCCTCAGCAATTTGCGCTCGGTCCTGCAGAGCTTTAGCGTAAGAGTTGGCAAACATGCTTCTCTCAATGCTAGCTTCTGCTTCCCTGGCCAGGGCCAGAGCGAATGGTAGATCTTTTGGTTGTGCAGGGAACACAACCGCTCTCAATGACTTTTTAAGGACGGAGATGAAGGCGTGTAAGGCGTCGTCTCTAACCTCCCGGTTGAGCAAATCAGCGCCTTCTTGGTCGTGAGACATTACGATTTTGTTGGTAACGAGCGTGAGTTTCTTTTCAACGTCATCGTAGTATTGCATGAGGGACATCTCGCCCTGCGAAACTAACTCCAAACTCTGTCTCAACAAACGCAAGGATGTTTTATCCGAGTATGTGCAATCTAGCCTAGCTATTATTGCTTCGAAATTTAGGACAGTGTTGTTAGACACTAGTAAGGCTCCAGCTGGGCCTCTGATTTTGTTCCTAATAATCGCTACCGCTTGGTAGTGTGCAGTGCTCTTTGGAAAGCTTTTAAATAGCTCGTACGCGTAGATGGCTGCTTGCCTCCACGCTACATAATCGTCCTGCACACCAGTGAAATCCGGCACGGTTTTAATAATGGGGGATATCGCATTTGATTTTTGGATCGACGGATATTTTCTCGTATGTCATGATTTGCGGCGTTTCCACCTGCAAACTCTGTACTTGTGTAGCCAAAGCGTTTATTTGTGCTGTGAATTGATCTTGTTGTAGCGCTAAAGCTTGCCTGACGGCACCCTCAATGAGAGCCTGAACCTGGGCTAGCTCCATTTCTTCGGTTACAGCGGTGTCTGTAGGTATCTACTGAGCAATTGACTTCCCCCTCCCAACTATCGTCAGTATTATATTCTACTTTTATTTCCCTATAATTCCAACTCATTGGCTTGTGGTTGGCACTTTTCAAAACTTAGGCCGATCGTGAAAGGTCGTCATGTAAAGCTGTTGGCAATAATAGAAAATAGAGTATCTTGGGTATGCAGTAAAAATATAATGCTGCCGAAAGTATGCAATAATTATTTGTTTAAGGTATGCAATGTTTTATTAAAAGAGCGCTGGTAAAAGTATGCAACGATTTTAGCAAAAGTATGCAATAGTTTTTGTTCAAGGTATGCTTTATTAAAGAGCGCTGGTAAAAGTATGCAACGATTTTAGCAAAAGTATGCAATAGTTTTTGTTCAAGGTATGCAAAGTTTTACTGAAAAGTAACGTTGGCAAAAGTATGCAACAAATTTTAGCAAAAGTATGCAACGTTAAAAATGAAATGCTGGCAGAAAAATTCAGCAATATTTACTTTACTTGTTTTGTTTTTTCACGTATCGGTACGTGGCGTTCGTTAATAGTTTCTTTAAGGCCGAAATCACTTATGAACTTACATGTCAATGGGTTCTTGTTTATTGATTGGGCGCAAATTATGTCTTCCGCCTAACTTCGTTGTCGAGTGACGATCCGTGGACGGTGATAACTTCTTCTCTTCGTTGAGGTATTGATGCATCCAATAATTGATTACTGGAACACTGTGATTATGTTGTGGGAAACCTTCCCAGTTGCCCGTCTTGGATGTGGTCAACTATGATTGATAACACAATTAATGTTTTGTATTCTTGTTTTACGGCGATGCCGGAGCTTTAATCATTTATTCGTCTTATGGTGTTGCGATCTAGATTAAGACTAAAGGCTACAGAAATATTCAAGCTTAAGTTAGCCCTGTGAAGTCAATGCATCACGCCATTCGCTCGAGTCGGCGTGCCGACTCAGCATTCTTGCGCTAGCAACACGGTGTCCGTTTACAGTGGCTGCGCGCAGAACTCTTGGTAGCGAGTCAGCATTGCTTACAATAATATTACTTTGTTGCTGAGGGCAAACAGAATGCTTAAGGCTGTGTGTTAAGTGTTGTAGTATTTGTTGCTGAGGGCAACCAAATTATTTATGATTGTGTATGAATAACAATGTATGACAGAAAAGAGTGTATCTTGTGTGCTTAGTTCTTAACTTATATACTTCATAGGGTCGGAGATGTCTCCTTCACTGCGTTGCAAACTTCAGACTGAATTTATTATACCCTCTGCAAGGGTATAAAAACTAAAACTAAGTACGGTGCAGGGATAGTGGTTGAAATGCAAATTTGATTATATAGATTTTTATAATTGTTACAAAGAACACGAAAAGGCTCATGCAGGCCAAAATTTAAGATACATGTTGGCAAGTTAAGAATATGGTAGTTGCGGGTTGGCCCAAAAGGCTCATTAAAAGTTAAGTGGCTTACCAATTCTATGGAGTCAATATCACCTTCCACATGATTGTGCATAAAAATAGGTCCAAGCATGATTCTACGATTTACAAGAGTAGGTAAATTAAGCAATAGTAATCTACTAGAGTAAGAATACAACCTTACTCTTGCTGGTCCCAGTTCAAACCACAACGGGCAAAAAGAAGAAATTTTTTTTGTACCGACTCAATACGATCAATGTGCAATTGATATTGGGTACTCCAAACGGGAGCGCAATATAATACAAGTTTTTGGTTTCAAGTGGTTTCAAACATTATTATTAAAGTGGTTTCAATTATTGCTGCGTGCGATCGGGGCATACCAAAGAGAAAATAAAACCCAAACCAAGCCAAAATACGAGATCTTTAAGCGGGCTATTCATCTGAATAGATGTTTACGTAAAGGAAAAATAGGAGGAGATGCGTTTTGCGTACAGAGCTTGGCCGAACTAGTTTAAATGGAGATTTGCACCCCCTATGAATTAACTGCTCTGGAAGCTGCTAGTTCGTACCTTTAAAAATAAATTCATTTCGCGCATTTATAATAAAATCCATTTTCTTTTTAGCTATATTACATTTATTTAGGCTTTTATGTTTATCATTATGGCAAAGGCATGGCGTGGTCAGCTAATATTCCAATTAAATAATTTAAACCCAAATCGATCAAATTGCCATGCACTGTTGAGGATTTTCGGAAAGAAGAGAGCTGTAGAGAAAAAGGTAAGTTCAAAGTTTGTATGTAAAAATTTATCAAGTAATGCAATACTTATTTCTAGGAATTGGATACCAAAGAAATGCTGATTAACTGCTAATTGGGTGTATAAGTTAATACGTTTTCCCAGCAAAGTTCCCAAGCTGATCATGCATAATTGAATAAAATAATGCAAGGTTAAGGCAGTTAGTTTCATTTTGGAAATGAAATGAATTACAATAAATCCTTAAACAGGACATATAATTAATTGGCACCCAACGCGTTGTAAGACCCTCGACCCGTGTTAAATAAAAAAAAACAATGCGTCGTAAGACCCTCGACCCGTGTTTAATAAAAAAAAAACAACTCGTTGTAAGACCCTCGACCTGTGTACAAAAAAACTCGATAGTAAGACCCTCGATTCGACGTTTAAATAAAAACATTGAATAAAAAAAATTTAAAAACGCGTTCGATTCGTTTTAGAAAAAAACAACAAAGCAACCTTAACTCAACAAAACCAGGCAACAACAACAAATCAACCAAATAAAAATAAACCAGGAACGACGACAAGGACGAAACTAAATTAAAAGAAGGAAGACACCGACAGCGGCAACAACATTTAGTTGTATAATTAAATAAAAACCATGTAAGTAGAGTGTTCGTTGATATTCCCACTATTTTCAAATTGCAAAATATTTTAAAAAATATTTAAAAAGTGATTTTTCAAGAGTCTCAGTCAAAAAAAATGGCACAAGTTCGGAAATTTTTTTTTAGAAAAAAATAAATACAAAAGGAACAAAATTCTTTGTTCTTTGTGTTAAAATCATATGAGCGTTAGAGATATAGAAGAATTCAAAAACTAAACACCGCGGAAAGTTTTCAACAAAATAGTTCAAACATGGCGTTGACCAATGAACAATTAAAATCCATTATAGAAGGCGCAGTTGCGAGCGCACTCGCCGCGCAGGAAAAGAGCTTTGGGCAAAAATTACAAGATGTTCAGAAACGATTAGGTGGTGTAAATATCGGCAACCCAGAACTAGAAACATATAGGGATGCCGAAATCATAATAGGTAACGTTAGATATTATGAAGTCCCTGCCGAACTTTAAGAGAAAGAATGAGACATACGTATCTTGGAGGAAAGCTACCTCTCTGAACGAAAAATACAGAGCAGATGCGCTGCGAGTATTTATTTCGGGCACAAGAAAATCGCTCAGCGACGTTCTTTTTTCGGCAAAACCAACCGCTCTTCTTTCCGCTTTAACATTAGCCCATTCGCAAGTAGTTTTGCACGTAGCACGGAGGAAAAACACCAAAGGTGTCAAAGCTATGAAAGAATTAGAAAACGTTATTTTCGTAAATAAACCATTCTCTATAAAATCAATCCATGGTCACAACATATTAAACAAAAAATGTATAATGCACCTTTTTAATACAAATACAACATTTTTCTTGCTACCAAACCTAACAACGTTTGATGGAATAATTGGACTGGACCTACTAAAAAAAACTGACGTCGTACTTGACCTAATAGAAAAAAAGTTAACTAATAGCAGTCGAAGGAAATTAAATTTTTGAAGTATGCAGATGTTAATTTTACAAAAGTTGATGAAAAAAGTTTGTTTTACTTTTTTAAAAACCAGGTTATTTAGAGAGAAATCGCTAAAAAAAAAATAGCGGAGCTTTGCACGGCTATAACTATTCTAAGCTAGTAAAGCTGCAGACAAGTGATATATGTCATTAAAAAGGAACTGTCAAATGCTAATCATGCTGCCTTAACATAATTTTTACGTATACAGCCCTAGAGATTCATAGCATAGTGGGCAGTTGTCAAGTTCGCGAGGAAAACACAAATAAAATAATATAGACATTTATAAAAAAACAAGAAAGGAAGCAAACTTCGGCAAGCTGAAGCTTGCAGCTATTGCAAATATTAAATATTCTTGAAAAAAAAAATTAAAATTATGATTTACTTATATTTAACCATTACTAAATGTCGAAGAACTTAACAAAAACTTAAAAGAAAGCAAAGTTATAATTTTTTTTCATTGATTTTACCGATTGTTCCCATGGAAACTATAAGTTATAGTCGTCCGATTTTGATGAAATTTAAACCGTAATTCTGAAATATATAACCATTACTAAATGTCGAAGAACTAAACAAAAAATTAAAAAACAGCAAAAATATAATTTTTTCATTTATTTTTTTATTGTTCCTGTGGGAGCTATTTGCTATAGTCGTCCGATTTTAATGAAATTTAAACCGTAATTCTGAAATATTTAACCATTACTAAATGTCGAAGAACTAAACAAAAACTTAAAAGAAAGCAAAGTTATAATTTTTATACCCTTGCAGAGGGTATTATAATTTCAGTCAGAAGTTTGCAACGCAGTGAAGGAGACATCTCCGACCCTATAAAGTATATATGTATTCTTGATCAGCATCACTAGTAGAGTCGATCTAGCCATGTCCGTCTGTCCGTCCGTCTGTTCGTCCGTTTAAATGCAAACTAGTCTCTCAGTTTTAAAGCTATCTGCATGAAACTTTCCCAAAAGTTGTCTTTCTATTGCAGGTAGTATATAAGTCGGAAAGAGCCGGATCGGACGACTATAGCATATAGCTCCCATAGGAACAATCGGAAAAATAAATAAAAAAAAAATGATAACTTTGCTGTTTTTTAATTTTTTGTTCAGTTCTTCGAAGTTTAGTAATGGTTAAATATTTCCGATTTACGGTTTAAATTTCATCAAAATCGGACGACTGTAGCATATAGCTCCCATAGGAACAATCGGAAAAATTAAAATAAATGAAATGAAAAATTAAAATAAAATTAAAAATAAATGAAAAAAATTATAACTTTTCTGTTTTTTAATTTTTTGTTCAGTTCTTCGACATATAGCAATGGTTAAATATTTCAAAATTATGGTTTAGATTTTATCAAAATCGGACGTCTATATCATATAGCTCCCATAGAAATAATAAAAATATATAAAATAACTATAACATAATTGAGCTGCTAATCATCATAGCTTCAATGTTTTTAAACATATACGAAAGTAAATCATAATTTTAATGTTTTCAAAAATGTTAAATTCTTGCAATAGCTGCAAGGGTATATGAACTTCGGCTTGCCGAAGTTTGCTTTCTTTCTTGTTTTCATTTATTTTTCCGATTGTTCCTATGGCAGCTATATGCTATAGTCGTCCGATCCGGCTCGTTCCGACTTATATACTACCTGCAATAGAAAGACAACTTTTGGGAAAGTTTCATGCAGATAGCTTTAAAACTGAGAGACTAGTTTGCATATAAAGGGACGGACAGACGGTCATGGCTAGATCGACTCTACTAGTGATGCTGATCAAGAATATATATACTTTATAGGGTCGGAGATGTCTCCTTCACTGCGTTGCAAACTTCTGACTGAAATTATAATACCCTCTGCAAGGGTATAAAAATTATAACTTTGCTTTCTTTTAAGTTTTTGTTTAGTTCTTCGACATTTAGTAATGGTTAAATATAAGTAAATCATAATTTTAATGTTTTCAAGAATATTTAATATTTGCAATAGCTGCAAGCTTCAGCTTGCCGAAGTTTGCTTCCTGTCTTGT